AGCCTTGGTGAATGCCTATGACCATACAGGAAGATTCACTAGAATAGATATGAGAAGGCTGATCTTAAATTGTGACTCTATATCTTTAAGAAAATCTCTATGTGCAAGAGCTTCAGTGGGGAAAGGTGCGGGCTGCTAAGACTGAAGTCGCAAGTACAATCCCGAAGAACCACAGGTAGAGGGAGAATGTTAGCTCCCACAGGTTGTCTTCTGACCACCATACATGAGCCGTGGTGCACCACACACACACATACTCAAATAAATGTAATTTAATTTTTAATGGAAAAAAAAGGAAAATCTAATTCTATTCATCCCCTCAAAGAAGCCCAGTATCCAAAATCAGACTTACAGAGATCGGCAGTGAGCATCTTCCCGGCCTTTCTTGAGAAGGGAGTATGGATCACTAAAAACCACAAGAGCAGCCTAACCTCTCCTCTTCTCTAAGAGAGAGTTCGGTGAGTAATTCTCTATGTTCCTAGCAGTGGGGTATACCTCACTAAATAGTGGAAGTTTACTTTAGAATCTGATCATTCTACGCTGCAGTTTATCTCACTTGACTGCATTTCCTGAAGAGTTTAATCTCAAGTCATAGGAGAAGAATTAGAGGCCATATCTCTATTAGCTACTTTACTTACCGCTGTGATAAAGTGCCTGTGTAGCAACCTTTTTCAACTATTTTATTTTAGTTCCTTATGCCTCTACCTCCCTTCTAACCACTCAACACTAGGTAGGAAAGAAAGAAGGTTAGTGGGGAGAAGGAGCGTAGATCTCTTTACTACTTCCTGATGATTAGAGTCATCGGGTTTTTTGGGGAAATAACAGTGTCAGACACCAGTGTATCCAGAAAATCAGCAAACAGCAACAAGCCACGAACAGCCAACACAGCAACAGGATGAACCAGCAGCTGCCTTCTTCTGTGGACTCCTTTTCCTCTCAGTGCTCTGGCATCTATACCCTCTGATCATGACCCTCAATGCACTTGGCAATCATAGTTAACAGTTGTGGACAAACAAAAAGCAGCCACATATAACCATACTTGGGATTAAAACAAAAACCACATTTTACATAATGTAACTGAGGTTTTAAAGAAACCAAAACTTCCACTACATGTCTGGTTAAAAACAACATAAGGATGGAAGGGTTTTGAGGATAAAGATCCATCCATCATGGTGGGGAAGTCATGGTGGCAGGAGACTGAGGCAGCTGGTCACATTGAGTCCGAATTCAGACAGCAGAGAAAGATGGGTGCTAGCGCTCAGGCTCACTGTTTCTTTTTTCTTCAGTCTAGGAAGCAACTCAGGGAGTAATCCTGCCACTCAAGGGTCTTTCCACCTCAACTCAATCTAGACTATCCTTCACAGACATATCCGGAAGTTTTTTCCATGATGGTTATAAATCTAATCAAGTTGAAGAGCAAATCCAACCAGCATACCATCCAAGTGTGCGCTTGAAGTCTTAGTCCAGTCAGCAGACCCAGGTCATGAGGACAACACAGAACATCTGAGGGTTCACATTGAACCTCTCACTGTGACCATACGTGACACTCTGGGTCTCGGAATTCTTGGGTCTTAGAGGGAGACTGATTCAACCTCCATTTTCAGGGATGGAGGGAGCTGTGGGGTGCATCTGTGGAAACTGAATGGAGAGGCCATGGTTATGAAATAGTTCCATTTTTGCCTGCTACAAAACAGGAATCAGGATATGTAGACTTCCCTCATTTATGGATGCATGGAGGAGGGCCAATGATGTGGGGCCTCCTCTACTGACTTCTCTGTTCATGCTGGAGGCTTGTGAGCCAAGTTGTCCTAGCATGGAGACATGGAGATACCTGAGTTAAAGCATAGTACTCTCCTATCCTCACCCGAGCTGAAGTTCCGGGGATTCAGAGCTACAGCTCACTTTTTAAACCATGCCATGTCAGGAGTAACAAGGGTAGGCTGCCTGGCAGACTGTGGGGGAGGGGTGCAGGGAGGCCCAGCAGGTGCCAGTGCCCAGATACTCAGATACTCTGCTTGGGAAGATATTGTATATTTCCATACTGGTTGGAAAATACTCATTGACATAATCCTACCTTCCTATCCATCTTGGGTACGCCACAGACTCTTCCAGGACCCAGAAGTTAATTCCTGGTACAGTAGGTCATTCAAAATGATCCTCTCCGTTGCCTTGACTAAGCCTCAGTGCAAGACTCAGAATTCAGAAAGACTGGTGGCAAAAACAGTTCTATTACACTGGATCGAAAGGAGTCCATGGTGTGCTGGGAAAATGATGGACACCCACCTTCTCTTATTTCCTTTAGAAAAAGACTGTGGAGATTTTTCCAAACCATCAGCAGAGAGATTCAGCTTCAGTGCCAGAGCCAGCTACACACTTTCGGATGGACTCTTAGCCACCACATAGTGATTTTTTGCTGGTGTGTTCCATCAAGTTAAACGGTCAAGTTAAATAGCTACGGTGGGATTATGTTCCTGTCCCTTTGTTAGGGCATCCAGTCTCCCAGCCATTTCTATCCTGTGCTTGCCATCTCTCAAAGACTCAGGTTATATCACTTGTACCTGTTCACCATGCTGTCTTCAAGCTCTGGCCCTCTGCTTTGGAGTAACTCCCACAACCTGTCTGACCTCCAAGAAGGGAGTGCTGGTTTCCTCACAAGCACTTAATCCTAAAGCATAGGCATGCCAATCTTCCCCAATCCCAGGAGGAATTAGGGATCAGGACATCAGACCCAGGATCGTGCAGGTATTGTGTATGTAGCTGATCCCTGAGCCTGCTTACCACAGGGGTGTGTGGTTAGTGCCACCGAGACCTGGAAAGGTAACAGTGTAACTCAGCCCACATAGTATGAAGGTTCCAAAGTCTTGTAGCTAGACAACTAGACAAATCCCTTAGGTGTTAATCATTACACAAAGCACACGTATCAGGGGTTCTGGAAGGTTCTGAGAAACCTCAATGATGAACACATTGAATAAGAGCAAAAGATACATGGAGCTTGTGAGTTAGGCATAAAGCTAAGCTTGAAGGGCCTTGGGGGCTCTCGGTTTGCATTAGACGGGGTTCTTTAGAGGAACAGACCAATAAAAACACATGTGTATATTACGGAAGGGTATTTGTTGTGTTGGTTTACATGACAGGATGACTGGTAGACCAGCAGTGGCTGCGTGTATGCTGGAGACACAGAGATCACTGCAGATACACGATCTATGAAGCTGTTTGCCTCCGCAGTTCTAATCCAGTGCTGAAACACTTGGAAGCTCCCTGAAGAGGTGCTGGTATTGAACCATGTTAAAAAGCCAAAGGAGCTGGAGTCTAAAGTCTGTGGGCAGTGCCAGCTGCTGTTGGTGTGCGCAGGAGGAAACAGGCTTGCACAGTGCTAACATCTAGACCTTTGGATGGTGCCACCTCTACTCAGGGTGAGTTTCTTCCCATGCTCCGTCTTCTGTGTTATCTCAGCTTCTTTTCTATTGCTACGATAAGGCGCCGTGACCAAGACAACTTATAGAAGTAAGAGTTTATCTAGGGCTTACAGCTTCAGAGGGTTAGAATCCATGACCATTATGTCAGGGGCATGGCAGCAGGCAAGCAGGCAAGCAGGCATTGCACCGGAATAGTAGCTGGGAACTTACATCTTGATCCAAAAGCGTGAGGGAGAGAGAGCAGGAAAGGAAGAGGGAGAGACTGGGATGGCACAAACGTCAAAGCCAGCACCCAGGGCCCTCCGTGTTGGTGAGAATCTCCATGATGGTGAGAAGCTGTCCCTGTGGCAGACCCTTTGAGATCAGAGAACATGCTGTGCCCACTGTCGTTCCCTTGACTCCCAGCCTGTGCCTCACTGCAGACATCTAGGAATTCCTCTACTGTCTACTTTAAACCCAACCATGGCAATGCTGGATCATTCCCGCTTATCTCTGCTGTGCAGAGACAGAGAGAAGCAAACCATTCTCGCCCGAGAAACAAATACTCATTTCTGTGAATTTCAATTAGGAGCCTTTTCATTGCTTCTTTCAATGGGCAAGAACACAAAAGTGTCTTTTCAAAAACTTTCTTCTTGGTACTCCTGGAACGCAGTGCTGTACGGGCTGAATACTGTCAACACGTTCACAGGTTTAGAGGTTTACCTTTTCAGGGAGGATCATCGGTCTGCCGACCATGGCCGAGGAAGAATTAAATGGCATATAACATATTGTGCTAGAAAGCAAAGAAATGCTCAGTAGCTGCTGAGGGACCATCAAAGGGATAGGTTTTGGAGAGCTGTGTAGGAGTCTGCCTGGGCTACCATGACAAGGCACACAGACTAGACAGATGAAGCCCAGGGACTTATTTAATCACAGCCGTGGAGGCTGCAAATCCAAGTAAGATGTCAGCAAGGTTGGTTTCTCCTGAGGCCCCTCTCCCCGGCCTGCAGATGGCTTCCTTCTAGTGTCTTTACACGGCCTTTTCTCAGTGTGTGCCTGAGACAGACTGACAGACAGATATTTATTTTGACTGTCTCTTTTTGTAATTGTTTATATAAGCAGTAGGAGTTACTGGCAGGGTAAGGATGGAAGGCATAGTAGAATTCCTCAGACATTCAAGGCCTTCCCTTTCCAGGGCACCGTCCTTAGGAGCAAGCCTGATGTCACAAACACAGGCATTCCAGAGCCACTCCAACCATCCTGTCCTCTGTTTGCTTGCTTGCTTTGAGGCAGAATCTAATCATTCATTCCAGGCTGGCTCACAAGTCATATCCGCCTGTTATCATGTCCCCCAAGTGGTGACGTTCCAGGCCCTCCTGTTTTCATAAACATCCTTGGTAAAACCCCACTCTGAGATGTGGAAACCTGGATCAGGCCCAATGTGGAGCACCAGTAACTCGGTGCTTCTTCTACGGCTTTCTGTGAATGGATGTGATGGTGGGAACAGAGACTATCATGCTTTCCCAGAGGCACCCCAGCACCCCACATCCCAGCCAGAGCTTAGATTAAGGAAGCATGAGATCAAATGTGTGAGCATCCACTGGAAAGGGCTGTCTCCAAAGTCACTTGGGACAACTCCCACAAGTAGCAGGGTGGATACACTGGCCAGCAGGCTGTGTTTGCACCATTGCATGCTGGGCTCCTACCAGGAAGGGACCTGGCTGGTATAAGAATCTGTTGTCTTCTTCATCATATAACAATACCGGGGCTATTAGATCAAGGTCCCAGGCATGTAATGACCTCTGAAAATGCATTATCTTCAAATAGGTCATGTTTGGATAAGGGTTCCAACATGTGAACACGGGGGCCACAGTGCATAGCCCATGATAGGCCTCTGTTCTCTGTTGCTAGCCAAGGCCTGCTTATATGAACAAAAACAGGTCAATGAAAAGCACTCTGGATGTCATAGTAGGAGAGCAAAGGAGGTGAGAGTTGGCATATATAATGACACACATAGCTGGCTTGGCTCCTTGTTGCCTCGGGGGCTGAATGTAAGCACATTCTGTTCAGACAGGTTGGTCCCCCGTCCAGCTTTATTGTTTGACCTATTTCTCCTGTTAATTGTTTCATAGAGCAAACAGGACTGGAGGGCAGCAGAGTGTGAGGATGCTTTGGAGGTCCTGATCCAGCAAGTAAGTAGAAGCCCACCTTTGGGCTTCTCCCTGACTCTGAAGGAGATGGTTCTTGAAGTGTTGTATCATAGCCCACTGTCCGAAGTGCAATCCGTCCCCACGAGGGCCAGTGCTGCCGCCATGGCCCCGCGGGTGAATTCTCAGTGCTTCGTGGCACCCCAAAGCTGAATCCCCAATAGCCAGCTACTAAAGAGAACACTGAAAATGGAGCCTGGGTGATAAATCAAAAATATAGAACCCCTACGGCATGCGTTTTCTTTCACTTTTCCATATATATATATAACAAAACAAGCAGAGAAAATGATCTACAGCAGAATAACTGCTTCCTTCTTTATTTTATTTTTTTGCATTTCCATCCATTGTCCCCACCCCCATCCACATGTATTATTTCAACACAGGATACATGAGACTGTTCTGCTTGCGCTGCTTAGGCTCAGTTGTATGAATTCTTGAGAGGTGGAATTTATGCCCCCTACCCACGAAGCTGGTATGACTTCGTGACCACTCTGTAGCCAATACCACACAGCAGGGAGATGTCATTTAATTTTCAAAAGTAGGCCAGAAAATGCCACCAAGTTTCAGTTCTTTGGGGATGTTAGCTCCAGGGGAGACCAGCACTATGGACGAAGGCCAGTTGTCCTGAGACTGCCTAGCCACAGAGCGTGCATGCCAGCATAGGAATGGACAGCCCAGCCGGGCTCAGAGCTGACAGCCAGTGTCAAATCCTGACTGTAGGCACGGGCCATCTCACACTGCCGGTCCCATCAGCTCAGCTGATATTTGCAGCCCCAGCTGACATCTTGCCTCTACTGCATGAATGACCTCAACAAGAGAGAGGTTCAGCTGAGGCCTTTTCAAATTTCTGAAAATTGCCAGCAAAATAAAATGGTTGTTTAAAGGCACTTACATTTGGAGACAATTTTTCACACAGCGATAATAACCAAAGTAAATTTTGGTGTCTGCAAATGAGGGGTTGCTATAATAAAAATTTAAAGCACATGGCAGTTCTTTGAGATCAGACCGAAGACAAAGGCTGGAAGAGCTGAAATCTGAGGAGCAGTTGGGGTGGTTGTCAGAGAGGGCATCTGGGAAAGCCAGAGAAACATTACAAGGACTGTAGGCTAAGGAAATCTCCTTTATACAGTGGTGGAAAGTTCAACCCACTCATCACCTGCAGTAGGAGAAGTAGAAAATGTGTCAAATAAACTCTGTGCTCTCCTATGGGAAACTTCCAGGCGGCATGTGGACCATGCCAACACTGAAAGGAGAAAGGAGAGGCCAGAGAGATGGCTCAGTGGTAAAGATGCTTGCCACCAAGTCTGATGACCTTTGACCCTTAGGACACCACATGGTCAAAGGGGAGAACTAACTCCTTTGGGTTGTCCTCTGACCTCCACATGCTCACAACACAATGTGTACACACACACACCACATGCACACACACAGGCACACACACACACGTGTGTACACGTGCTCACACACACAAGTGAATAAATACCAAAAAATAGCAAAGTAATAAATTTGAAGAAATAGAAGGGGGAATCTACAAGCAGAAAAGAGGAGGGAAAAAGAAAATTTTACTTTTCTTTCAGTTAAAACTTGTAAGAAATATAAGGAATTGCAGAATATTTTGTTTTAATTATATATAGGTACATATATATGCATACATACACACACACAGACACACACACACAGATACACACACACACACACACACACACACACACACACACACAGCATGTGGACATGCCTGTGGGTGCTCTGTAGACGCTAGAAGAGGATATTAATTCTACCAGAGCTGGAGTTCCCGGGAGGCTGTGAGCTGCTGGAATGAACAAGTGCTGGGTTTGGAGTGGGAAGTATTCTTTCTGGGTTGAGCAAATCTCTAGCCTCATGTTAGCAATATTTTTTAATTTTGTGCAAAATTTGCTTTTATTTTTTTATTTTATTTTATTTCATTTATTTATCTATTTGTTCACTTTACATCCTGATCGTAGCTCCCTCCCACATCTCCTCCCATTCCCATCCTCCCTCCCTATTCCCCCTGTCCCCCCTCCCATACTTCTCAGATAAGGAGAGACTCCCCCACCCCCGCCACCAGCTCATACCAGCACATCAAGTCACATCAGGACTGAGCGCAATTTCTTCCCCTTTGGCCTGGAGAGGCAGCCCTGCCAGGGGCAGGTGATGGAAAAGCAGACAACAGACTCCATGTCATAGACAGTCCCCACTTCCCTTTGTAGGGGACCCACATAAAGACCAAGCTATATCTGTGTATGTTGAGTCCATGCACGGTCCTCATTGGTGCATCAGTCCCCACAAACTCCCCCTTTGAAAAGGCCTTGAATTTCCTTGTCAGTCTTCCCATTGACCAATGAAGTTTGTCAGTCTTCTTAGGCTTAGTGACACACTTGTGACCAGAAGAACATAATGTGACATAACTTTCTAGATGAGATCACAAACAGCCATGATGTCCTTGGAGCAGCAGCCCTGGGAGAAACCAAACCTGGGTAAGTGACCACCCTGAAGCTGCCACGACAGAGAGGCTGAAGGCAGGAGCTCTGACCCACACCTTAGCTAAGACTACAGTCAGCAGCTGTCCAACTGTACGTGAGCATTCATGGACAGAGAGCCATGTCAGGCCACCAAGATGGCAGCCATGCTACAATCTAAGCATAGTCTGTGACAGACTCCAAGCAGGAGTTTGGACTCCTTCTGAGTTCCTGCTCAACAACAAAACAAAACAAGCAAAAACAACTGTGAACAAAGTGAAATGATAACCTCAAGCTGCCATGTGTTAAGGTAATTTTGATGTGCACCAGCCTCTGGAACACATAGCTGCACAGCCTTCTTAAGTACCCTTTAAGCCACTGCAGCTGCTTTCGGGGGAGAGGCTCCTTGCCCATACAGGTGATTAAAGCAATCGTCTCCCTCCCTTTCCTGCAGTAAGGAAAGGAAGGACAACATGAAAAAGAACAAATATTTGTATGACTTCTAATCCTTACGGCCAAATTCCTTTTGAGAAACCTAGTACCAGTTTGCCACCCTGAGCTAGCAGGCATAGCGGTTTGAGTACCACTTTGCCAGCTTTGGGTATTGTAACTTTAAGCCATACTTAAAAGCATCACAAATTCAAGAGGCGTTCTTGTGCGGCTGCTGTAAAATTCTATTACTCTGATCCTAGGAGGGAATCCATTCAGGCTGTAGCCAGGCCCTCTCCAACTCAGGCTAACCCTGCCCCTAGAACCTGGTTCCTGCCTTTGTTTCTTTCAACAGCATTTTTTTTCTGTTGTACTTCCTGCCTATTCTGGAAAGTCAACCAAATGGACATTGTTTTACTGTCTCCCACAGATAATCCTGACCTATGACATATGTGGGTTTTGTCCATCCTGACACCAGCTAATCAATGATGGTGAACATGGTCATCACAGATGATCTCCTCATTCACTCTCTTAACTACTGTGCAAGTTCATTTTTGAAAACGTCTTCTCTTCTCTCTTCCCCTCATCTTTCCTCTCTCCCTCCTTTCCTCCTTCCCTCTATTTGTGTGTATGTACACATGCATGCGTACATGTATGTATAGGCCTGAGGTTGGCTTCAGGTGTCTTCCTCAATTGTTCTCCACCTTATTTTTTTGAGGCAGAGTCTGTCACTAAACACGAGGCTCTCTAATTCCGATCGATGGACTGAGGGGCCTCAGTGACCTTCAGTCTCTGTTTCCCCAGCACTGGAATCACCGCCCACACCCCCATGTCAGGCCTTCTTTAACATCACGGACACTGGGAATAGGACTCAGGTCAACAAGCCTGCCTGGCAAGTACTTTACCCCTGAGCCTCCTCCCCAGCCTTGCAAGGTAGACTTTTACCCCCTATTTTGAAAGGAAGCTACTAAACCTCAGCAGTATAAAGCAACTAGGCCAGTGACATGCCTTATGACTGACGGGAACAGGATCTGGCTCATGTTTTGACCCCTGGACTTCGGTTTTCACCCAGTCCACTGAGATTTTAGTTCTTACTTATGTAGACTCCCAAGAAGAAACTAGTAAGTGCAGGAAATCCCTGTTGGCTCCTTTCAAATATTGCCTGCTTCTTCCAAACACTGACTTAGGTTTGTTTTTTTAACCACTTTAATTCAAAAATGCATTGTCTAAGTTATGACTACTTCCATATTTCCATGGGACAATAGCATTAAAGTAGTCTTGATGAATACTTAGAAATTTTTTGAAAGAAATAAAGCTGACTATGTATTCATTTAAGGACACCATTAGAGAAAATGTATTCATTTCAGAATTGTTCATATTTCTTAAAAAACACAAGAAGAAAAATATTTTTAGTTTAAAGTTAAGTCCATTGGGGGTGGGGGTGTCTTCTTACCTCTTCTTCCTCAGGAGAAAAATTAAAGCCCAAAGAAGTCATCTTGAAGAGACTAGAGAGCAAGCTGTAAACATGACTTCAGTTATCTAGAATGTGAGTTCCAGCTAAGGGAGGACTTTCTCCCATGCTGTGTCCTTAATACTCCAACGGTGCCAGGGACTCATATATGTGGAA